TCATGTTACGGGTTGGTTTTTAACGAATTGTGAAGCTGAGCCCCACTGAACAGGAATTGATGGAGGGGATGGATCAAAAGTGAGGTGGGTTTTGGTTTCAGTTTTGCAAAACTTTATGAGTGAGGTTTTTCTTTTATGGGGGGGTTTGATTTCTGAGTCCCATTGACTGTACCGAGTCCTCAGTCCATGGCCTGGACTGTCCAGAAGTTTACAATTTTAGTCAGAGGTAAGAAATGGACCAGGGGCTGGGGGGGAGTCTGGTAGGGTCACGTGCCCACCCAAGTTGCTGCTTGGCTTATACTGAACATATTTACATGGACTAAGCCATGCTCAGTAACATCTGCTGAGGCCGTTGCCCTCAATCTGTGTCTTCCTCCCCACTCTTGGCAGGTGGGGTCGTCACTGAGTTTAGTCCCGCCAGAGTGATAAGGACATTCAGTTCACCACACCCCATCCCCTAAAACTATTTTGGAATTAATGTGACTGATTTTCTCTTCTGCTGACCTCGGTGTTCAAGGCAGTGACTATAAATGGAGGTGCTTTCAAACACTGCCGTGATATGTTAACATAGGCCGTGGGTTATCCTGTGCAGACCATATCAGGCCAGATTTTGGGCTCCCGAAAGAGTTTCATGGAATCCCACCCCTGACCCATTTGGTGGTTGTTATTGCTGTTGGAGCTAGTCAAAATGTTTCCATCAAAAGCTCTGGCACCTTCAGCGCAACAGCGCCCTCTAGCAACACACTGGGGCACTGCTTTGGAATTGAGCTCCAGGACGACAGCCGAGGAAGGCAGCTAGTGATTATGGTTGCTTCCGTTTTAGGGTGTCCCATCTAAGACACCTTCAAGAGGCTAGATTTTCAGAGGGAGGCAGCTCAGCCACTTGCTAAAAATTGGGCTCCTTTCAGGTCTCTCATGCTGAGCACCCCAAAATGGTGGCATCCCAAGTCACTGAGTGATGGGAAGGTAAGCCAATGGGGAAGGTCTTTTGGGACCATTTTGTCTTTTCTTATTGGTGGGGCGGATCAGGTACGTGGTTTTGTCGAGAAGGATTTGGGGCAGAGCCAGTTTGGAAAAAAAACAATTCCAGGATGTGAATGGGTGAAAGAGAGAAAGGAATAATTAAGGCAACAAGTGTGGGCATAGGATAGGCTCTGAGAGCGTGAGTAGCAGTCATGCAAGTTGAGTTGGTCATGGGTGTGTCAAGCCTTGAAAGATTTGAAAGGGAGGAATGCCAGCCAAATTAATCTCTGTTGTACCTCCATGGAAGCCAATGGGTCAAATCAATGGATCAGAATCAAACCCGAGGGGTGAAATTCACATCTGTGCAGCAGAAGGCCTACATGAACCTCTAAGTCCGCAAAATTGGCTTGAAGTGGGATGAAAGTGGTTCAAAGGCCTGGTGCCGGGACAAACACTGTTTCAGTGACGACAGATTGTTGCCCTCAGAATGAGGCATTGGAGCTCCCTTTTCTATTACGGTGATTACTCCAAGCACACACAAACCCTCCCATTTCTCTGGCACTCAGAGCTAAGGGCCAGATCCTCAGCTGGCATAAACCAGCATGACTCCATTGAAGACAATGGGCCAGCCTCTTAGCTGGTGTGAATTGGCATAGCTCTTCTGAAGTTGGTGGACTGGTGCCAGTTTACATTGGCTCAGGGTGTGGCCAGAAGTGTTGAGTGTTGGTGTAACCCAAACACCACCCGGGTGTGGTGTTCTGTCCCATCTAATGGCACCGAGACCACTTAGAGAGAGACTAATGAGCCTGCTCTACAGCCTTAGCTAAGGGCCATGTGGCTTTTGGCTCATGCACTAAGCTCCAGAAGTTCCAGGTTCGATCCCACCCGCCCGCTCGCTGACAACCGGGGTCGGTCAGTGTTACGTTGGCAGCTGGTGAATGAGAAAACCTTACAAAATGACAGCCAGGTTTCATAGAAACACAGGCCTGGAAGGACCTTCTGAGTCATCAAGTCCTGTTTCTGCTATTGCAGGCCACACCATAATGCAATCCCGTTAATTTAACAAAACCCAGCTTAAAACTAGTTAGGTTGTTTGCCAAGTGACTTCCTTTCTCTTTGCCCATTTCATTGGGTTTTAACATGGTGTGTTAATTTGCCCATTGCAACCACCCACCCTGAGATCTTGCCAGACCTGTCTTATGCCTGGGGTATAGGTTCCCTTCTTTCCAGAAACTGGCTACCATTTTAAGCATCTGACAACTATAAAACTTCATGGGTCCTGTAGGTGGCCGTGTGTATTGGGTGACCCAGAATGAGTTGCAGTGGATTGTCTGGGAATTTCACTCCCCTTAGATTTCCTTCTTTCTCACAGCTCAGTCATATTAAGAATGACTATTCTTATTTGTTGGATGCTGTCAGTGTGCTCTGTGTCATAAAAGATACAGAAGAAGAAACAGTCCCTGTTCCAAGGATCTCAGGATCTAAGATTCTGGGGAAGATTATTTCAGAGATTCCTAGATTTTAAAGCCAGCAGGGACAATTCGATAATCTAGTTTGACCTCCTGCATAACACAGGCCCAAGAAACCCACCCAGTGACAGTAGAACCTCAGAGTTACGAACACCTCGGGAATGAAGGTTGTTCGTAACTCTGAAATGTTTGTAACGCTGAACGAAACGTTCTGGTGGTTCTTTCAAAAGTTTACCATTGACTATTTACTTAATGCAGCTTTGAAACCTTACTAGGTAGAAGAAAAATGCTGCTTTTAACCATCTTAATTTAAATGAAACAAGCACAGAAACAGTTTCCTTCCCTTGTCAAATCTTTTTGTTAGGCTTTCCTTTTATTTTTTTAGTAGTTTATGTTTAGGGGTATGGAACGGCTTCCGTATGAGGAGAGATTAATAAAACTGGGACTTTTCAGTTTGGCAAAGAGACGACTAAGGGGGGATATGATAGAGGTCTATAAAATCATGCCTGGTGTGAGAAAGTAAATCAGGAAGTGCTATTTACTCCTTTTCATAACACAACAACTAGGGGTCACCAAATGAAATTAATAGGCAGCAGATTTAAAGCAAACAAAAGGAAGTATTTTTTCATGCAATGCACAGTCAACCTGTGGAACTCTTTGCCAGAGGATGTTGTGAAGGCCAAGACTATAACAGGGTTCAAAAAAGAAGTAGATCAGTTCATGGAGGACAGGTCCATCGATTGGGCTATTAGCCAGGCTGGGCAGAGATGGTGTCCCTAGCCTCTGTTTGCTGGGAGTGGGCGACAGGGGGTGGATCACTTGATGATTCTCTGTTCTGTTCATTCCCTCTGGGGCACCTGGTACTGGCTGCTGTTGGTAAACAGGATACTGGGCTAGATGAATCTTTGGTCTGACGTAGTATGACCCTTCTTATGTTAACACAGTACTGTACTGTATTGGCTTTTGTTGTCTTTGCTGTTGCCTGATTGTGTACTTCCGGTTCCAAATGCGGTGTGCGGTTGACCGGTCAGTTCATAACTGTGGTGTTCATAACTCTTGAAGTTCTACTGTACTCCCGTACTGAGCCCCATAACTTGTGTTTGACTAGAGCATCTGTCTCAGACAGGCCTCCCATCCTGGGAAATCCTCAAGAGAGGAGGTCCCTGCCAGCTTGATAAATGATCTTTAATGCAGCTGAGTGACCTCACATGGGAAACACCCAGCTCTCAGCACGTGTGTGTTTGCACCTGCGGCCAAACCCCAGCCTTGATACTCAGTTGGTCCAATACGAGCTATTGTCTCCCTCACCTTTGTCTCCCTCATAGAATAGTTCTCCAAGCTGGTTGGGTATAGCTTTAGGATTCTGGCCAAGTACCAGGCTAATTAGGTTACATCCTCTGTGCCTAATTTCTCCAGGCAGGCTCTGTTGGATATGGCATAGGATTTTTCACTTGCTGGGCAAACTATGTTGGGGGACCTAGTAATCTGAATGCATAACTGTATGTTAGGTGGAGTTACTGATGTTAGAGATCTGTACTATCAGACCACAGCACCTGTTCTTTGTGGGACACCATCCGTACTCTCCCACTGAAAAGCTACTTGTTTTACTAAGTCTTGAGTCCCCTTTCTGGACCTTTCTTCCCAATCTTTTTTGAGCCTACAGCTTTTGGGTGGCCTTAAAAGAAGAATGAAAAATGTGGGCCAGATCTCCAGCTGGCGGGATGTGGTCTTAGCAGAAGTCCATAGAGTTACCCTGATTTACCCCAGCCGAGGATCCGGACCAATGTCTCTGAAGTCTGGCTTCTTCCCTGTGTTCTCTGTGCCTTCAAAGCATATCCCTGTTCTATTGCTAAAGAACGTTTGTGGACTTTTTCCTGTACCAGGCCTGTCTGAAAAGGTGCAATGGTATCTGTATAGGCCTGTGCTGGGCCTCAGATAGCTTCCAGTGAACTGAATGGGAATCCTGCCGATGTCTGGTTCAGGAGTTCTAAATCTGACTGCAGTCGTCACTGAACAGGACTGGGCAAAACTGGGGAAAAGAGAAACTGCATTTTTATCAGGACTCAGAGAGAAATTCCGGAAATAATGGGCTTAGTATCTATCTATCTATCTATCTATCTATCTATCTATCTAACAGATGAATGGAATGGGATGGATTCTTGATAGGACATTTTAATTCCTGGGTTTCCTATGAAATTGATCCCAAGACAGTTAACATTCCTTTCACTGAATAATGGCTTTTTCCTTTTGGATATAACGAGCAGTGTAGACAAATAATTGTGTATGGGCAGATCCTCACATGGTATGAATTGGCCTTGCTGCACTTAAGTATATGGAGCAATGCCAGTTTACACCAGGTGAGGAACTAGACCTTTGATTTCTAAGCAGATTGGCGAACTGTAGCCATTTCTTCATCAAAGAGAGCAAAAATATTCCGAAAAGGAAAGGTTATGGTGGAAATAAATGAGAGGAGGAACACCAAGACAATGGGATGCTCATGAATTGTAAGTTTTATTGTCTTCACATCTACAAGTGGACACTGAAGTGGGAAGGTTGTGTGTGAAATTATCCCAGCAGAAAATATTTCATGCTGCATAGCCCAAGAATATAAACGATCCAGCAGAAACAGCCCTTAATGATAAGATTTCACACTTATACAGTGGGTTAACTCTTCAAAGCGCATTACAAGCATTAATTGATTATAATACTAAAAACAATAGAGAGAGTGCAATTTGTGAATGAAACAGATCATGCCAAGCTGTATAAATGTAAGGCAACGTCATGAGAGCAGGAGATTCATTGTTGTAACTTGTTGCTGTCACTTCAGCTGCCGTGATGGAATTTTGCAGACTTGATTTTGCAGCTGTTGACTTGGAAGACACTTTGCCTCGGTATTCAGCACTTTTTCACTGGAAGACAGCACTGTTGCATTGGGGGACAGCACTTCTGCACTGGAGGACAGCACTGTTGCACATGTTGTTTTGGCTTCACATAAATTGGTGCACTGTGGCATGCTCCAGAGGTACCGTGGCACGACGATCCAGAACCGTGGCACGACGATCCAGAACCGTGGCACGACGATCCAGAACTGTGGCAGGACCGCTCAGAACAGACCGACCACCCATGGCCGTGGCATCCTCCGGAGGATCCATGGAAGTACGATGGCCTCCTGACACAGCAGTGGCCTCCACTGCCATGGCACGACCCTGATGACCCGTGGCAATTCTCAGCACAGCCCGATCGTCGATACTCGTAGCATCGGTTATCATGGCCTCCCCTTGGCCCACAGCCACTGCTGCAGCAGGTGCTATAAGCATAGGTGAAGGGGGTGCGCCGGGTGTCCAGCCAGGAGCCCGCAGGGTCATACCAGGTGGAGTTCCTGTTGAAGTAGGATTCCCTTCCAGAAGAGTAAATCATTCTGCAGCCTAGGTGAAGCTGAAAGAAACAGACCACATGGGATAAGCCCTTGAATTTCCATTTACTCTCTTCAGATAGAAATCCCTGCTTTTATAGCCCTCACACGGGCCAGGGGTTCTTAACTTGTAAGCGACAAATCTAAAGGTGATCTCAACACCCACATCTGGGGAATGGCCAGTCTCTTCCAAGATGCCTTCCCTAGGTTTACGCTGAAATGGATTTCCCCAGCCACATGCAGCCGGGGATCAGAGTCAGCCATAGGGCATTGCGCCATTTCTCCCCCACACAAACGTGCTGGAGCTCTCTTCTCGAGGCAGCCCTGTGGTGCTCTGACCTCTCAGCACCCCATCCTTCAGCTCCTAACCATTTATCCTTATGACCTGTAACGCATTGTGTACGCTGCCTCGGAGACATGAATGCCCTTCACATTTGCATATGGACCCAACTACACAAGGAAAACTTGGCTCTAGCATTCGAACCCAGGCACAGGGAATTGTAGACTCTGATCTGGAAAAAAATATATGTTAAGGATATTTCTAATGAACAGCAAGGAGGATCAGTATAATCTGACTTACCCTATTGACCAACAAGGACCGTTGAGAAGAGGTGAAGCTGAGTGTGTCAGGAGCACTGGGATGCAAGAGTTTTTATACAGCTTGGAGCTCTCTTTGAAATGAGATATCCCCGGGGAATGAGCACTTAATTATTGACAATCAAAACAAGCCCGTGTTTCTTTGCAGTTCCCCATGTCCGGCATTGTGAGTTGACTATTTCTGATCAGCAATAATTTCTGAGTAGTGTGGATGATCAAAGCGTTTGATTTGTGTAATCCTCAAATACGCTGCATGAGGCAGATCAGAAGGAATTTATTTCTCCATTTTACAAATGGGTAGACTGAGGCACAGAAGTGGTAAGTACCCTGCTACCAGTGAGTCACGGGAAGAGACAGGTGCAGAAATCCAGTGTCCCACATTCCCAGTACATTATCCCATGCTGCTGACTCCTATATCACTTGATAATGTAATTAGTAGCTCCAGCGCATGTGGATGGCAATCGGGAACAGAACTGGCTGACCTGCCTAGGAGCCCAGACGAGTCACTGGCAGAGCCAACACACAGGGATATCTAGCTCCCAGCCCCAGGCCCAGTCCCCTAGACCAGTGGTTTTCAACCTTTTTACATTTGTGGACCCCTAAAAATTTTTGAATGGAGATACGGACCCCTTTGGAAATCTTCGACATAGTAGGCGGACCCCAGGTGTCCGTGGACCAAAGGTTGAAAACCACTGCCCCAGACCATGGTGCCTCTCATGTTACGGGTTGGTTTTTAATGTAATGTGAAGCTGAGCCCCACTGAACAGGAATTGGCTGGGGGGGAGTCTGGTAGAGTCACGTGCCCACCCAAGTTGCTGCTTGGCTTATACTGAGCATATTTACACGGACTAAGCCATGCTCAGTAACATCTGCTGAGGCCGTTGCCCTCAATCTGCGTCTTCCTCCCCACTCTTGGCAGGTGGGGTCGTCACTGAGTTTAGTCCCGCCAGAGTGATAAGGACATTCAGCTCACCTCACCCCATCCCCTGAAACTATTTTGGAATTAATGTGACTGATTTTCTCTTCTGCTGACCTCGGTGTTCAAGGCAGTGACTATAAATGGAGGTGCTTTCAAACACTGCCATGATATGTTAACATAGGCCGTGGGTTATCCTGTGCAGACCATATCAGGCCAGATTTTGGGCTCCCGAAAGAGTTTCATGGAATCCCACCCCTGACCCATTTGGTTGTTGTTATTGCTGTTGGAGTTAGTCAAAATTTTTCCATCAAAAGCTATTTTGGACAGAATTTGGGTTTTTAAATTGTTTTTATTCCAGTGAAATCAGCAGAGTTACATTGATCTACACCAGCCAAGGGCCTGGCCCAATTATTCAAGTGGGAGCTGATTCAAAGTTCTTTCAAGTGAATGGAAATAGTCCCTTTTATATTAATGAACTTTGGATCAAGCCCTTGGTGCTCAAGTGTAAATGAGAATAGATAAAATGTAGTTATCAACATTGGGATTTGTCAGAATTGGAATTTTTCAAACATAGAGCTGAGTTGGGTTTTTTAGATCAAAACTATTTTTCAATAAAAATGCCTTTTTGATGAAATTTTTGCAAAAATTTCCATTTTTGTTGAACGTTTTTGTCTATTTATTGGAAGAAACGAAAACTAAATTTAATTCCCTGGAAACCAAGAAAACATTTGTTGTGTGGGTATTTGGTTTTTGTTGCAAATCCAGAAATTTTCAGTGAAAATTAAAAAATGTTTGTTAAAAAGTTTCACGGTAAAAAACGGTTTTCAAACCATCTCAAATCATGAGATCCTGTCTCTAGAGAACCATCAGTGACATTTTCAGACTTTTCATTTGAGAATCACAAATGGCACGTTATAATTTGCATGTGACCTCATGCTATGCGTGCCCTGCATACTCAAACACATGCTTCACATTCTGAATCCATTCTTAACGATAAGGACACGTTGCCTTTGCACACCACCAGTGCAAACATTAGCTAATTAGTGTGTGTAATAAATCACACAGAGTAAATCCACCATGCAATGCTTCAGGCACTGAACAGATACGTGACATATCGCAGTGAAACTGATATGTTGACACAGCATGCCACTTATATACATACTGAGACTCCCAGGTGGACATATTCAGCCCATGCTGCCTCAGTTTCATCGAATCATAGGATTAGAAGGGACTGCAAGCATCATCTAGTCTACCCCCCTGCCAAGACGCAGGATTTGTTGTGTCTAAACCATCCAAGACAGACGGCTATCTGCTATAATAATGGCTATCATGGCGATTGTTGCTGGAGCTAGCTAGATCAAAGCTAGCTTGGGTGGATCTATGCATGCTGCAGTGTAATGATGTGTACTGGCCCTTTCAGACTAGAGTTGGCCAGAAGACTTTGTTCCAGGGACTTTGGAATAAACAAAGGCCTTGGAAATGGCCTGATAGCAGGAATACCTCTTATTGTAAAGTGTAGTCCTGAGTATTGGTCCTCATTCGGATGATCCTGGCTGTTAAACGCTATAGTGATGAGTTTATGTTGACCCCTGAACCGGTAGTGTTCAATAGGATGCTTCTGGAGTTACCAAGGAAAAAGTGAAGAGGCTGATAATTATGGAAATGCCAACACGTTGTCCCTCTGATGAATTGCAAGCTTTGTCTCCAGGGTCCAACTGGAGATTGGAGAAGGAAACCAAGGGCTGGCTAGTAGAAAGTTTTATATATTAGTTTAAATATTCCATAACCCAAGAATATCAATCAGACACAAGGCATGATACTTAAAAAGAACACTTCACATTTGTATGGAGGACGACGCTCTTCAAAACGTGTTGCAGACATTAAAGGCAACTGGAGGGGAAAAGAGAGAATACCTGTAATTTGTGAAACGGAGAAGACACAAAAAGCTTTATAAACTGAAGGCAATCTCAAAAGAACAAGCAGCCAACTGGCACATTTATGCTTATAGGCTGTTTTCAACAGTTCACTGTTGTTTCTCTGACTATCTCTTCTGCACATGGGCTAGCAGCTGGCAGATCTGCTTTTGCTGGTGCTGGCTTGGATATTGAAGTGCCGGGGTTGATAAAAGAGCAGAGCACGGTTGCACTAGTGCATAGCCTTGCTGCTTTGGTGCACAGCAACGTTGCACGGGTGGGTGGCATTTTTTCACCAAGGCACAGTGTTGCTGCATTGGTGAACAGTATTGCTGCACTGGACAACCCAGTTGTGCTTGTCTTCACGTAAGGGCAGCTTTGTGGCTCCCTCGGGCAGGTTCCCTGGGCGTTGTGGTATGATGCTGCAGAATCATGGCATGATGATGCCTCTCATCACAGACTGATTCTTCGTGGCATGACCCTGAAGCTCTGTGGTAGGGGGAGTCTTTCAGGGACCAGTAGCAACCTTAAAACATTGCAATAATAATAATTAATAATTAATAAGAACACAGAGCTCTTTTCCCCAGTAGATCTCCAAGTGCTTGGTTGAGGAGGTCAGTTTTCATTGCTCCTTAAGTCGCTCCTTGCAAGGTAGGTTTCCAAATCTTGCAACTTTTTTCTATACGACTTGTGGGTCCTGGCAACTGGGCAGCTCGACTGGTAAGTGCCTGACTGGGTCCTGCAGCATCTGCTAGAGCGGCACGCCCCCTCCGCAGCCCTCACCCAGGCCTTGTGCCCCCTGCCCCCCAGCAGTGCTTTATGCCTCCACCCTGGCCTCGTACCCCCTGGCCCCGAGCAGTCTCTGGACCACCCCGACCTCATGTCCTTGAGGACTGGTCCCTGGAGCCTTCTGCAGCTCCTCCCATCCCAACAGGCCTCTTTCCCTCCCCAGTCCATCTCCAGTTTCCTGCTTCTGCCACATCCGACCTCTCCAGGGCTGCTATCTGGAGTCTCCTTGGCCCTCCTACTACCCGGAGCCTCCTTTCTTCCCCTCTGCTTTCCCGGTCCCCAGAGGGGCTTTGCACCCCTAGCTGGATCATAGTCCGACAGCTTCACCTCCTGTCTCTGAGCCCAAAAGTACTCACACACACGTGCACACTCACACCCTGCCTTACTGTTCAGGAAGGACAGGCAGGGCAGAAAAGGTGGGGGAGTAGCACTGTATGTAAGGGAGGAGTATGACTGCTCAGAGCTCCGGTACGAAACTGCAGAAAAACCTGTAAAAAGAAAAGGAGTACTTGTGGCACCTTAGAGACTAACCAATTTATTTGAGCATGAGCTTTCGTGAGCTACAGCTCACTTCATCAGATGTCTCTGATGTCTCTGGATTAAGTTTAGATTCATCAGATAAACCTGAGTGTCTCTGGATTAAGTTTAGAAGTGTGTGCAACAAGAGTGATGTAGTGGTGGGAGTCTGCTATAGACCACCGGACCAGGGGGATGAGGTAGATGAGGCTTTCTTCCGGCAGCTCACGGAAGCTACTAGATCGCATGCCCTGATTCTCATGGGTGACTT